CAACTGGTAGATTTGAACTGCTCTCCTTGCGGTTAGTAACCCAATTTGTAATCCAGTCTGCTATTAGAGCTCCTGGTATGTTTGGTAAAGTAATGTGAAGCTGAGGAAAACCTTGATGAGATGACTTGGCACATTGATAGTTACTACAATGGGCTCAAACATAAGATTGTTCTTGACAAAGGTGAAGCTGTGGGACTAGGTAACATTTCACTGTTACACATAAAGACTAGAAGGGAATTAACAACAGTAACAATTTGTTATGCAGTTTTAGTAACAAATACACTCTCCCTAACTAGCCAACCCCCAACACTTTCCACTTATTTTTTTCCTGGCAGCACTCTGCCACTGGATGGAACCTCCACCGAGGGTCAGTGCTGCTCATATCAGCATCCTCAAAGCCTAGCATACTTAGCCAGAAATTCTTTGTAGAATAAATGAATAGGTTAAGGAATGCAGAACAACCACAGCTCAGAAACACAGCCAGAAGTCGGGGGTCAGGAGGGGAAGGGCCAGCTCACCCCATCACAGCTTCCCCAGGGGTCACCACCCCTGTAAGAGGGGACTAGGGCTCTGCTCTCCTATTTCTTCAGAACAATGTTGCCCCTACTCCAGGGCCTTGGTCTGAGGCTGGCAGGGCCCAGAATTTGGGCTCTCATGGCCTCCGTGTGAGAACACGTCTCAGCTTCACGTTCCTGCCCCAGTTAATATGATCCGATTCTCCTATGCCCTGTAAACCTCAGGCCTGCTTCTCTTTCTTTGGCATGAAGATTTGTTAAATGCCTCAGTTAGAGTCATCTAATTTTTATACCCGTCAGACTTTTTACAAAAATAATTTCATAGATAAGGAAAGAATTCCATTCCAGCCCATGTGATCCAATTTTTGTTTGGAAAATGGTCCCTGTGCCCATAAAAAGGAAAGGACTGCTGAGTCCAGGCCTCTCCCAACCCTGTTCCTGCAGAGAACCAGAGGCCTGAGAACCTTCCAGAAAAAACACCAGGTCCCTATTGGAACCTGGTGCCCACTCTGGATCTGGAAAGGGGCTGGCCCTGTGCCCACTTAACTGAGCCATTTCCTCCCTGAATGAGGCAAACTTCCTGCCCAGAGGGAATGTGTACACTCTGGGGCAGGGGTGGGGGCATTGAGGGGAGAGGAGAAGGGGGGACTGAGTCTTGTATTGGGGAGGGGGCAACTATAGGAATTTCCTCTCCACCTCAGCTACCACATTCTGGGCTGAAGGCCCATCCTGGTGGTTGGACAGGAGCAAGGGTTACAGACTGGGCTCAGGTTGACCAGAGGGTAGCCATTCTTGGAGGGATAAGCTGAAGCTGTACATCCTGAACCTCAGGTCCGGCAGGTGGGAAGTGGAATCTCCGAGGTCAGCCGTGCAGTGACCTCCAAATCCCTTCTCTAGGTCACTCTCCTCCAGACAAATTTCAGTTGAGCTTCCAGACTAAGACAGCCTGGGAAGAAGGAGAAGCTAACTACTTTTGAATGTTTAGCCACCGAAAACATTATGAATAGCAACAGAACACTATCAGATAAAGTGCTGAAAGATGAAAACATTATAAATTGCCACAGATATTGTTATATGTAGTAGTTCTGGAAGATGAGCCCCTCGGATTGGAAGGCACTCCAAATATGACTGGGGAAGAGCTGCCTCCTCAAAGTAGAGTTGACCGTGATGACGCGAACGGAGTAAAGCTTTTGGGACCTTCACTGGCTGATGGGGCACAACTCAAAATAAGGAGAAACAGCTGGAAACATCCATTAATAATCGGAAAATGGAATTATGAATCTAGGAAAATTAGAAGTTTTCAAAAATGAAATGAACACATAAAGTTCAATATCTAAGCATTGGTGGTGGTTATGTGCCATGGAGTCAGTTCCAACTCATGGTGACCTTGTACAGGGTTTCTGAGACTGCAAATCTTTATGGGAGCAGAAAGTCTCATCTTTCTCCTGTGGAACAGCTGGTAATTTTGAACCGCTGATCGTGTGGTTCGCAGCCCGATTCGTATCCACTACGCTACCAGAGCTCCTTATCTAAGCATTAGTGAGCTGAAATGGACAGGGAGTACTATGCTGGGAGTAACAAATTCACAAGGAATGGTACAGCATTCATCACACCAAAACTTAGAGTACAGGGACACTGAATGGTTTAGAATCAGGAAAGGTGTATTCCAGGGTTGTATTCTTTCACCATACTTATTCAATTTGTATGCTGAGCAAATAATTGAATCACTGGATTATATGAAGAGCATGGTACCAGGGTTGGGGGAAGACTCATGAACAACCTGCAATATGTAGACAACACACCCTTGCTTGCTGAAAGTGAAGAGGACTTAAAGTACTTACAGATGAAGATCAAAGACCACAGCATTCATTATGGATTGCACCTCAATGTAAAGAAAATAAAAATCCTTACCACTGGACCAATAAATAACGTCATAATAAATGTAGAAAAGCTTGACATTATCAACGACTTCATTTTACTTGGATCCACTATCAACAGTCATGGAAATAGCAGCCAAGAAATCAAACGACGTAGTGCTCTAGGCAAGTCTGCTACACAAAACCTCTTTACAGTAAAGTGTTCGAGAGCAAAGACATCAGTTTGAGGAGTAAGGTGCGCCTGCCCCACGCCATGGTATTTTCTATAGCTTCATAGTCATGTGAAAGTTGGACAGTGAATAAGGAATACCGGAGCAGAACTGATGCATTTGAGTTACGGTGTTGGAAAAGAATAAAGTACCATGGACTGCTAGAAGAATGAACAGTTCTGTGTACAACGAGAATGCTCCTTGGAGACAAGGATGGTGAGACTTCATCTCTCATACTTTGGACATATTATCAGGAAGGACCAATCCCTGGAGGAGGACATTATGCTTGGTAAAGTGGAGAGTCAGTGAAAAAGAGGAAGATGCCCCCATGAGATGGCTTGGCACAGTGGCAGCAGCAATGGGTTTAAGTGTAGCAACAATTGTAAGGATGGCACAGGACTGGGCAGTGTTTTGTTCTGTTGTGCACAGGGTTGCTATTAGTTAAAGTCAATTTAATGGCACCTAACAGCAACAACAAGAGAATTAAACATCGTGCTAATAAGGCAAATGAGGTGCATGAAACTCTGTGGGAGGTAGGATCATGCAAACAAGGGGATTGGCCAGTTAGTTTGCCATTCTGCTAGGCTGAAAAAAGAGCCAATCGCAGAGCACGGAAGATCACTAATTGAGAAATTAGGAATGGAGCGTGTGTTTTGGACCCTGAGTTCCTGTGCTGAGCACCAATTAGACCCAGGAGATCGAGAGTGAGCTGTGTTAGACTGTGAGAAGCACTGATGGATAGATGGGCTGCAGAACCAGGAGACAGGAGTGAAATGGCTCACTGGGCTTCCTGGCTCACAGAGCAAGGCAGCTAGAGTGGGCGTGCCGACCCCTGGATCGAGAGAATGAGCACTTCTGGTCTGAGGCTTACTAGCTGAATGGAGTGCCCCCAGGAACTTGCTGGAAGAGCTAAAGCACTTTGGGTGGTGCTAAGTGAAGGATCCCTGGTAGCGTAGTGGTTACAAATTGGGCTACTAACCTCAAGGTCAGCAGTTCAAAACTACCAGCCGTTCCGCAGGAGAAAGATGAAGATTTCTGCTCCTGTAAAGATTTACAGCCTTGGAAACCCTGTACAGGGTCGCTATGAGTCGGAACTGACTTCACGGTACTTAACAACAACAACATAGGATAAATGAAGGACCTCAAGGTTGGTTTGAACCACAAAGTCAGTGGTTTAAACTCACCAGCCGCTCTTTGGAAACCCACACTGGGTCGCTAAGAGTTGGAACTGATTTGACAGCACTTACCAACAACTTCCCTTATAAACCCCCTAATTGTGAGTATGACACAGAGAAGTCAAAAGTGCTGTGGGAGGGATGGTTGGTGTCCGAACTGGCAAAAAAGTTGGGGAGCAGAGGCATGTCTGACCTCCACCTCATAGGAATCAGCCTTAGGTTGATGCTACAGATGGTGATTCTCTCTTCCCTTGTGAGGTGAGCGGCCGGAGGCCTCTACCATGCCATTTTTATGAGTTGTAAGACATGTTATGAGTACAATGCCCCTAAACCATACGTGCAAAGAATGTTGAAAGGATAAATGTCTTGTTACATATACAGATTTACCACACACACTCACACACACATAAAATAGAAGTGCTCAGCACATTGTAAACACTAGGTATGTGGTAGCTGCTAGGCTTATGACAGGCTCAGAGAGGTGCAGTGGCTTGCCTAAGGTCACACAGCAGGTAGGTACAGGTGGTGGAGGGCTTGTCCATACCCCCTCTATGGACTCCCTGAGCTGGGTCCTGCAGGGGTCAGAAGCCTGGTCAATCCTTCGCTCCCTTCAGCTGTTTCCAACCTTGGATGGCACAGGGCACAGGGGTCTCCACCTAAGGCTTGGCTGCTATACCACATGTCCACGCACCACCCCACCCCATCCACACTTCCTCAGCCACTGGCTCCTGTCCTCCCTTCAGCCCTGAACTCCTTTTCTCTGTTTGCCTTGAGGTGGCTATTCAGGAGCTTCTCCAGCCAGGAGAGCTGTGTGGCCTCAGAAAAGCCTCTTACCATCTCTGTGTGTTTGTAGTTCTAAGTCACAAGTTGATAAAAATCATCATCTTTATTGTTTGTGGAGGGGGCAGATGAGGCCAGTAAAAGTGGAGCCATTCTGAGGAGGCAGTTCTCCTGGACTCACCCCCAGGAATGCAGGCCTGTGGGGTTGTAACCACTGCCCACCCTGAGAGAAAGGGATCAATCCAAGCAGTTCCCAGATGTCCCCACCCTCTGAAGGACCCCAGCCCCAAATCCTTTTTGTCTCTCAAGGACCCACAGTGCCCACCCCAAGGTCTGGTGGGGTCCAGCCCTACACCTCTGCTTCCAGGCAGTGTCCTGAGGCCAAGACTTCACAGGTCAGCCCGCTTGTGCCTCAGACAGACTCCAAGTCCTCCCTGAGGCTGGTCAAGAGGCTGAACTCTGGGGCTGGGCAGCTGCCGGAGGCGGTGGGGATTGGCTTGGTGCTGACACAGAAGGACTCTGGGAAGGAAAATCCTGAGAAGATGAGGAGGAAAGAGTGAGGATATCACCCCGTCCATGTGGGGGATGCCTCAGGCCTCTGTTGAGGCTGAAGGGCACAGCATGGAGTGGGCTGGTCCTTTCCTAGTGACCCAGAGAACAACCCAGGTCTGGCTATAGAGCGTTTGCCCCAGCTCCCCTCGAACTGGGGGCACACGGGATAGGTACCTACCTGCATCTGACAAAGGTGGAGCAGGGTGCGGGTGTTTGTCAGGCACCAGAGCTCCCCCAGCAGGGAGACGAGGATGCCCAGGAGGTCTAGCCAGCGACCCACGGTCAGCAGCAGCACAAAGAGGCCGCCCATGCGCACCAGCACCGTCTGCATCTGGCTCTGCATGCCAGGGTGCTGCCGTTGTTCCTCTGGTGACAAGAGTGGGGCACCGTCACTGCCCATCTGCCCAGCCACCCTCCCCATCCTGATGCTCTACCTTGAGGTCCAGCTGGGCTGGAGCCCTGGACCTTCCAGTGTCCCACCCACCTGCTCTGGCAACCCCTGTACTTCCTCTCCAGGCACCTACTGGGCACCAGATACTTCTGCTCCTCCCAACTCTGCTCAGCCCACAAGTCTTCCTGCTCATCCCTTCCTCCTGCATCCCACTGCCTTGGAACTGCAGGGGCATCCTGCACCCCCATGCCTGACCTCTCAGAAAGTCCAGCAACTCTTTTTACAGACTACATCCCCTCACCCCCGGCAGACCTCACCCCTCAGACTGCCCCAGCCTGGTCTACGCCACCTTCACCTCTTCCCCAGGACAACCAAGGCCTCACAGGGAGGGCTCCTTGCGTCAATTACTGCAGCAACCAAAATGACCTTCTGGAAACATCAACTAGATGGACTATTCCTCTGCTTATTAAGCCTCCCAGGGCTCCCTACTGCATCTGGAGGAATCTGTGAACACCATAGTTTGCCTTAGGTGGTCTTATCTACTTTAAATTGAGTTTGAACATGTGCTCCAAACTCACCTTATCTCTGACTCGCTTTCCCTTGACAACCACCCTCCAGCCATCTTGACTTTCTTCCATTTATGGTATGCCAAGCTCATTCCCACCTCAGTGCCTTTGCACCTGCTGTTCCTTGTGCCAGGACTGCTCTTCCTCATCCTGCTGCTTCCATTCCCACCACCACCACCCTGCAGCCAGGGGGCTCTTTCTAGGGCCCATATCTTACCTGTTACTCTCCTGCTTAACACTGCAGTGGTCAGCCTGGATGATGAGGCACCTAGACTAGGTTCTTAAGCACCTCACCAGTCTCACCCCTTCCCATGGCTCTTGGGGTGACAGTCATACTCAATGTTTTTCAGCTGTTTGATGCCACCATGTTTTCTCACCTCTGGACTTGGGAACATGCAGTTCCCTTAGCTCCAAATTCCCCTTTCCCCCTTCCTCCTCCCTAGGGAGCTCCTATGTATCCTTCAAAGCCCAATTCAAACAGCATGTCCTCTGACTCCAGCTGCACACCCTTCTCAGAACTATCCTGTGTTGCCTTTGCCATTAGACCGGACACTCTGGGATGGTGGGCACTGGCAGGTCCTCACCCTGCATGTAGATGACCAGCAGTGTGTAGCAGATGGTGAGCGGCGTCCAGAAGCGCACAGCCTCCGAGGTGGTCAAGCAGTCCCTGTTGATGAGGGCCACGGCCGCCAGGTCCCCCACGGTGAAGGCTACGGCCAGGGCCCGGCCCAGCAGTCTGGGGAGGTCGTCGGCGCCAGCCAGCAGGCCCAGGCATACCCCACAGTAGTGCTGGCTACTATGCAGCTCATAGAGGCGGTAGACATGGCGGCGGAGGCGGCGGGCCCCTGTGCCAAGCAGTGCGGCCAGCCCAAGGGCCAGCAGCAGGTTCTGTGTCCGGTGAGGGGCGCCCTCCTGCAGAAAGCTCAGGCCACAGGTCAGCCCACAGCCCAGCGAGTACTGGCCCAGCAGGTAGAGCTGCAGCCTCTCCGTGACGTGAGAGCCCTGGGTGGGGAGGAGGCAGATGAGGGCCTCTAGTGGTGGGCCCAGGGCAGGACCAGGAAACTGTCAGGTTACAATACTCCACTCTGTGGGAGATGAGTCTTGTTTGCAAAGAACACTGGTAGCTATGGGAACAGTTCTCACCACTGCAGGATAAGCACTGGACCAAGAAGTTGGTATGAACTTCAAGGTCGTTAGATCAAACTCACCAGCAGCTCCTCAGAAACCCTATACAGGGTCACTATGAGTCAAAACTGGCTGACAGCATTTAACAACAACAGCTTTAATCCTATGACTTAGAACTTGTCTGCTTGATGGAGCGGTGATTCAGCAAGGCCTGGTCAAGCCTGCCCCCTGCTGGTTGTTGACCACAGACAACCCACTCACCCTCTTTTTCTGGGTTTCCCCTATGTGAGATGGGATCATAGCAAACCCTTCCCCCTTTGGTTACAAGGATTAAGTTGCGGTGATGCACTCAAAGTATTTAACATCCCCCAAAGCTAAAGCAAGGAGCTCTGGCTGCTAATCTCACGGTCAGCAGTTTGAAACTACCAGCTGTTCCGCAGGAGAAAGATGAGGTTTTCTGCTCCCATAAAGAATTACAGTTTTGGAAACCCTGTACAGGGTCACTATGAGTCGGAACCGACTCCACGGCACATAACAACAACAACAAAGCTAAAGCACATCGCTGTCTCATAGATTGGAATTCACAGTGACCCTGCGAGCAGAGTAGAAATGCTCCCTAGTTTCCAAGGCTGTCATCTTTACAGAAGCTGGTAACAACCACTGACCTTCCTGTTAGATGACCACTTAGCCATGGTGTTACCAGAGCTCTCTGTACTAAGAAGCATGGTGGTGGTGGTTATGTGCCGTGGAGTCAGTTCCGACTCATAGAGACCCTGTATAGGGTTTGGTGGTGGTGGTTATGTGCTGTGGAGTGGGTTCTGATTCATAGAGACCCGATTCGTAACCATTACACTATGAAGCATAGTGTGGGACACTTGGGTGTGGTGCTATGGGATAAAGCACGGGACTGCAAAGCCATTTGAACTGCAAGATCGGGTGGTTCAAACTCACCAGCTGCTCCTTATAAACCCTATAAAGGCATTCTATGGGTCAGGATCAACTCGAGGGCACTTAACAACAGTCATTGTTACTTTCTTGGGACTGGGGTTGTATCTATTCAGAGTGGAGACTTGGCTTTGATAATCAAAAACTCAGCAGATGGTCTGCAGCTTCTATTCACAGTCTTACAGAAAAGGGGGTGGTGGGAAGACTGGGGACCCTGCAATTATGCCTAGCCTTCTATGTTCCAGGAATGAGAATCAGAGCTTTAAACCAGTGCATTCTGGTGTGACAGCCCCCTGCTGAAAATCTGCATTTTGATCCCAAGTATTCTGTTATCAGAATCTATATTTTAACAAGATCCCTAGTTCTGGCTGATCTATAAGATCTATAAGAATCACCTGGGATCTTATCAAAACGTTAAAAAGTAGGTTTGAGAGGCAATTTCTCAGCAGGGGTTCAAGCCCAGGAGTGGCTGCTCCCGCCTTCTTTGTGTGTGTGTATGGTCTCACCTTGCTCGTGGACAGCAGGGTGGAGACCGCCCGGAGGGAGAATTCGAGCACCACAAGGGCGGCCACCCGGACCCCCACGATGGTCAGGATCAAGGCCAGCCCCGCCAGATGCACTGTCTCCAGGGAGGCCCATTGCGCCTGCAGCAGATTCTTTTCTGGCTGCCGTTGATTGGGGTCCCTGTGGAGGCAGAGTGGATGCATAGATGGGTCCTGGAGGGGTCCCAGTGCTCTGAGCTACACTCCCTGGGGAGGAGAGGTGGTCTCGTCCCCACAGTCCTCCCCTCAGGGGCTTGGCAGCCGGCTGGAGTGGGCAAGGAGGTGGACACTCACTTGCTGCAGCTTATGAAGAAATAGACTTTCAGGAGGCTGCTCAGGATGGACACTCCGCAGGCTCCGACAAGGCCTGGGGTGGGGGCGGGGGGAGACAGGAGGGTGGGAGTCAGAGAGGGGGCAGCCAGGGAGGTGGGAGAACCATGTGGGTGGGGGCTCACCTGTGAGACCGGGGCCGGGAGGGGCGGGGCTGGGAGTAGGTACTCACCTTGTAGGAGTGCATCCAGGAGGCTGGAGCCCCAGTCGAGGGAAGGGAGGCCCGGGAACCAGGAGGGGAGGGCCAGCAGTGAGAACATGGCGTCCGCCCGGGATCGGGGCCCCCCGCCTCCGGCCAGGCCTGTACTGGGACAGACCGACGTCACCGTCACCAGGGCAAAGGTGTCAGGGAGGGGAGGGGCTGGAAGGGTCAAAGGCCCCTCTGGAGGACACCCAGGGGAGGAGCAGGGAAGCGAGGAGGGGCCTTCACCCTTCCGGGACAGGCACTAGGGGCGAAGGGAGCCAGCTCTTGCCCAGGCGCTCCTATGTAGGCAGTGCAACGGGCCGCAGTGGGCAGGTGAGGCTCTTCCCTGGGACTGGTGTCTTGTGAAAGTCTGGCACCCACTTCTCACCCTCCTCTAGGGCTAGAGCGCCACAGCGCCTTTCCTAAGGTCCCAGGCCTCCCCTTAGGTCTGGATTCTGCTCTACCTTAGCCCAAGGTCTGGAAGAGGGATTCTATCATTTCCCAAGCCTGAGCTCTGGGGGTCTACCTCCCACAACCTTAAGTCTGGGGGTCTGTTCCTTACAACCTGAAGTCGGGCAATCTGTCCCCTACAGCCTGAAGTCTGGGGTCAAACAACCTGAAGATAGACTCTGTTCTGTCAGCTGAGTTTGGGAGTCTAGGCTCCATAGTCTATCCTTCGGAGTCTGGGGTGTGGCTCTACCCTTTCACTGAGGGTCTGGGGTGGCTCCTCTCATAGCAGGGGGCTGAATTCAGTCTTCTAAGTCCAGTTCTGCACCCTCCCCTCTCTTCTGCCTTGGGGCTGAAGACTTGACGGTCCTCCTTGTGCCCACTAGGTGGCAGACCTCACATAGGTCAGATGGAGTGGCACTGGGCACCCTGAATTCCTTACTCAGACAGAAAAAGAGCTGGGGGTGGGGGAGAGACTGAAACTACCGACAGAGGGGAGTCTTAAGAGTAAACAAAATAGAAAACTTTATTGGTTTGGAGTGTGTGGTGACGGGCAGGTAAGCAGGTGCTCCCGGGCACAGCGCTTGTCAGACATGGGCTGTGGTAGGGAAGGTGGTCAGTCAGTGCAGTGTCTTCAAAGACGTCTGTCGGGGAGTGTTGATGGAGTTCTGGCAAGGGGCCCAGGATGAGAACACCTAGCTACTTCCCTTCTGTAGGTCTCAGTTTCATCATCTGAACAATGGGCATCACAAGAGCTCCCTTTCAGAATTGTCCAGATATATCCAAATTCCTACATGGTGCTGGCCATCTGGGAGACACTCAATAAAAGCCCCAGATGAGATGCCCCAGCTTCACAGTGCACCCCAAGATCTCCCCCTGTGTACAGTGATTCCTCAGTCTTGGCACATTGGTGCCCATATTAAGGGCACAGGTCTGGGGTCAGAACTGAGTTCCAGTCCTGGCTCTGCCATTTCAAAGCTGTGTGACTTTGGTTAAAGCCACTTAACCTCTCTGAGCCTCGACTTCCTCGTCAGTAAGAGAGGGTTTCACCTGTCTCAGATGGTTTGGGATGAGGAGTAGCACATTAGTTAAGGAGCCCTGCTGGCATAAGAGCTAAGTGTTCAGCTGCTAACCAAAGGGTTGGCAGTGGTTCGAACCCACCAGCTGCTCCATGGGAGAAAGAAAATGGCAGTCTGTTTTCATAAAGAATACGTATAGGGCAGTTCTCCTCTATCCTATAGGGTCGTTCTGAACCAGAATTGACTCAAAGACAATGGATTTTCATAGTGTTTGGAAGTCTCTGGGCAGTTCAAATGGTTAATGAGCTGGCTGACAACTGAAAAGTTGGAGGTTCAAATCCACCCAAGGGACACTCAGAAGAAAGGCCTGGTGATTTACAGAACAACCAGCCATTGAAAACCATGTGAAGCACAGTTCTAGGATGACACACATGGGGTTACCAGGAGTTGGAGTTAACTTGATGCCAACTGGTTTGTCTTGTTTTTCTTTTCATGCTGTTTGAAAACTAATAATCTAGTTGATGCAGGTCAATCGCTCTGCTTAATTTGTGTGCCCATGGCCCTGAGTCATTATTATAACAATGAGTAAGGCTCTGGGAGGAGAACCAAGTGGGCAATGATTCAAGGCAGATGCTCTGGTCCTGGCTGGGCTATGAGGTGGAGCCGGACCACAACTGCCTATACTCAGCAGAAGCTGGTGACCCTCTGTGGGAGGGCCAGCCCCTGCTGTGTGGGTTGTCACTCTGGATGAGTCCCTAGCTGTGTTAGGCAGGACTGGGGTGGGAGATGCCTAGGTACCCTGCTGCTGGGCCCCTCCAGCCAGTTTCCGGAGCTCATCCCAGAAGAGCATGCTGAGGATGGTATGGGGACCCAGCCGCAAGTAGGAGGGGCCTAGACCCTTGTACAGCGCCAGGGGGCCCTCTTGTCGCCAGATCTTCACAAGGCAGTCGGCAAGGCCCCCATACAGCTGCCCCTGGGGAAGGATAAGGGTAAGCATCACTACAAGGGCTGTGGGGTCCCTGGCTGGCACACCAGGGCTGGCACAGCCCTCTTGTACTGATCAGAAGGCGGCAGCTCCCCACCCAGGCTGGGCGAATTACAAAAACCTAGATAAGGGGCCCTTCCTGTAGGCAGCCTCAGCCCCATGCCACTGCCCAACATGACCAGTAGCATTCTGGTAGGTTTCACCACTAACACACCTGTATTGGGCACAGTCGGCACCACTGTGAAACAGGGCCCATGTGTACCTGGGCTGAGGCCGGCAGTGCCACAGGAAGGCTGTGGAGTCAGGCTTGGCTTTCCATTCTGGCTCTTCCACCTATCAGCTTGGTGACCCCAGCCAAGTCTTTGGATTTCTGAGTCTCAGTTTGCTCATCAGGAAAATGGGGATTGTTCGAAGAATGGAAGAAGATCCAAATGTAAAAGGGATGAGGGGCATGGGACACAGCTGCTCAGCAAACAAGCTGAACTAAGGGGCTACAATATGCTGTGCATGTGTGTGTGTTGTGCGCTCACGCAAACGTCCTCTCAGCTCCCACATCCTCCACACCCCATTTCCGGCTCACCCTGCCAGCTCCATCCACAGGCTGGTTGTACAGTCTGGTGCTGACCACGTCAAAGGGTGTCATGACTGCAACCACGGCAACACTGCTGATCATGCCCCCAGTCAGGGCCACCAGCCAGCTGTCCTCCGGGAGCCACTGTGGGGACAGCATGGGCTGCTGACCCCAGCAATTGCTCTTCTCCAACCACGTGGCGGCCTTCCCAACTCCCAGGGTGACCACCACAATATCAGGATTCCCTGCTGATCCCCACTCCGGCCATGCTCAACAGCTGAGGTTGGGATCCCAAGGGCAGAGGCGGGGCACATATGTCATCATCCCCATCAAATGTCCTGTGTGTGTGTGGGGGGGAGGGACATATGCGATGTCTGGAATGAGGGTCCAGACAGATGTGGAGAAAGGAGGCAGGTCTCCCCGATTCCCGTGTGTCTATGTGGGTGACACAGGTATCCCTGTACCCTCACCTGTTGCTCCTGCACCCAGGCCTTGGCAGAGGCAAAGGTGGCCAGCTGAGCAGCAGAGCCCACCATGACTCGGGGCACGGCCCCACCCACGCCCCGCCACAGTCCTGCCAGGCCCTGCTGCTGCCAGATGGTCTCCAAGGCACCCAGGACACTCTGTGGGGAGAGGACATGGGTCACTAGACAGCCCTGCCCAACCTGGGAACCCATCCAGCCAACCCAACTCAGCCCAGAGGGCTCTGGGGAGTGGCGGGTCTCACCTGGTGATGATGCTGGTGCCCCACGGCCATGGTGGCCACCGTCTGGGCCTGTAGCTGCGTCTTGATCTGTGGGAGCAGCAGGGACAGAGAAGTTTGGGGATGGGACCTTGGGAGAGCTGTGTGTGGTGAGGGCAGTCCTGCTGGAGCGCTCCCAACTCAGGCTGTGGTGGTCTCACACCTGAGTTCAGGGATGGGCGGGACAGAGTTGGGGGTGCGGGTCTGGATGCAGCCTGGATGTACACATCCTTGTGACCTAAGCATGTCACCTAACCTTGGTGTTTCCTTGCCCTGGAAAAGTGTTTGAAGATCACAGGAGATGACACCTGGCCAAGGGAAGCCTTCTCTAAGGGGCACAAGGCCTCCCAGAAAAAGTGCTAGGATCAGAGCCACCATACCTCCTGCCAGCCTCAGCCCTCTGCTTTGTCTCAAGGCCAATGGGGCAAGGACGGGGGAGGTAGCCTCAGGGCAAGACCAGGGTCGGATTCCAGGCTGGAGTGTTTCTGGGAGCAGCCACTCCCTATGAGCCCCACCTTGCCCAGGTCCACTGTGCTCAGTCCCTGGAGGCTGCAGGGGCCTAGGAGAGATGGGTCTCGGGGTGGTGGTGGATGAGACAAGACACTCACCAGGTAAGCAGGGCTCCCCACGAAGGCTCCAAGCGCCCCTGCTATGGCACCTGCGACAATGGTGCCCCCAGGCTGCTGGGCAAGGCCAGTCTGGCATGTCAGGCTGTAGCAGTAGAAGCGGACCCCGTTCATGAGGCCCTGGTACAGGAGGCCGGCGGCCAGCCCCTTCTGCAGGCCCCACAGCCCGTCTGCGCGGGCCACAGCGACCACAGCTGCCACGAAGCCGCGATAGGGCCGTGGGTAGGTGCCCCGGGCCTGCAGTTCTCCCTGCAGCTGCAGCCTCGTCTTCACCACCTCCAGAGGGTTGGTGAAGAAGCAGGCCAGGCAACAAGCCGAGGCGCCCAGCACCAGGTCCACAGCTGGGGGCACCGCCTCCATGGCCTCCGGGCTTGGGGCTGGCTGTGTTTGGGTCAGGGGCATAGGTTCCCGGCCCGGGTAGCGGCACTTAAGCGGTTTGCATCCCCGTAGGGCCGCAGGGCGGGGATTCGAGGGGGCCCGGGCCCATGTCAGGAGGGTCCCAGTGGAACAAGTCGGAGGTGCCTGGCGTTCTGGGTCTATCTCCGGAGTCCACCTGCTCTCGTCTGCGAACCAGCGCTCAGGACACGCCCCCGCCAGCAATGACCAATCCCAGAGGCCTCTGACTCCACACCTCCCTGCCGGGGCGGGGCCTGAGCCCTGGGATCTGGGGGAAAGGTCACCTGGGGCCTGAGAAACAGTGGGGGTGGAGAGAAGTCTACAGTCAGTTTGCGCCCCTTCTTCTGCCCTCCCTCGGGCCCTGGGGTGAAGTGAGGGGGGTAGAGGCTGGGGGTGGGCCCAGACCTGCCCCTGAGCAGAGCCCTGGGCACCAGCAGCTGCCCTGCCTGCATTCCATTAAATCGGTGTGTGACTTCCCCTTTCCAGCCAGTCTTCTAATTTAGCTCCCAGTGTCTGGGTCTACTGTCTGCAGAAGCAGAGGGAACAAGGGTTCGCTAGCCCAGAGAACCTGATTTTGAATCGCAAGCTCTGTGTGACCTTGGGCCAGTCCTTTCCTCTACATCTCAGTGTCCCTCACTTGTAAAATGATTTGTTTTTAACAGATGAGGTCTTGCTTCCTTCCATAGCTGGACAGCTCCTAGACATCACCCATGGTGTTGAACTGTTCCTTTTTCAGAGGCACAGGTATCAACCATGTTTTTTGTCTGCTTCTAACTGTGGTGGCTTGCTGAATTCAAACAGTGGCATTTGATACAAGTTCAATGTTGTTTCCTTCAAGAATCAACTTGTCTTTCTGGGCTTGAGATAGCAACACCTGGGCCTCATCCAAACCTTTAGGGTGTATTTTCCAGCCAAAAAGTTTGGGATCTCAACAAGAGACCTCCTCTCCTGAAGAAAGGTGTTGATGGGGAAACTCGCATACACAAATGTCATCTTGTAAAAGAAGCCAAGTATAACACCCTGGATCATGGGCTGTATGTGGCTACAGTTTATGTGACTTAAGAGCTAACTGTTAAGTGCCATCAAATCAGTTCTGTCTCATAATGACCCTGTATAGGGTTTCCAAAGAGGAGTTGGTGGGTTTGAACTGCTGACCTTGTGGTTAGCAGTCCAGTGCTGATTGTACAGCACCACACCAGGAGTCCAACTTTAGCCAGAGCCTTTCTATTCCCCACCATGTGTCAATGTGAAGCCTCTTCTTCCAAGGAGACTGAGTTCAACGTTGGTATGATGGGAAATCTCTCTGCAGGTCCTTCTGGGCCTCTTTCACAGTAACTGATGTTGACACTTTCTGGAATGTCCACAGACTGGTTGCTGAGGATGGTCTTCATTCTCACAGTACAGCCCACGTGGAGATACCGATAGCTGTTTCAGAAGGTTCTCGGGAGGATTAAAGATGTGTCGAGAGCCGACTGTGTGTCACCCAATAAAAAGGCCCTGATCTCTGCTGCCTCTGGCTCATATGTCCCTGCCTCCCAATAAGGGATCCAGAGGTGACCATGTGACTTTCATCACGCCCCCCAGGTCTGCCCCTTTCTTTGACAGACACCAGGAACGGGAGGAGGATCTACGGCTCCTGTTCCAGCTCTGTCCACACAGGGGCTGGTGGGGGTATCATTGCTGCCAGGCCTCCTTGAGCTACCCACGTCCAAACCACAACAGAGTTGGTCTGACCCTGTCAGACCCCTCCAACTCTACAGCCTCCATACCCACCCTCTTCCAGGGGCCCTGAGTGCCTGGCAGGTGTGGAGCCCTTGCTCATGGTAGCTTTGACTCTCACACCCACAAGGTCATACAGGGAGAGGGCTCAGTGCTCCCCCAGCCTGACCCAGCCCTCTAAGCAGCCCCCTGATGGGAGCAGTCAGGAAGAGAAACTGGGGGCAGCTTGAACTCCACAGAGTTTATACCAGGAGTGGAGGCCCCTCACTCACAACAGAGGCACAGGGGTCCAGCCTTGGCCTGCCCTCCCCTGGGATGAGTCCTGGGACCAGAACCTGAGTACCAATAAGCAAGGTAAACAAAAGCTTACTTGTAGTAAAAAAACATGTGAAACTGTTCTCTCCAGATGAATTAAGCAAGCACTTGCTTACCTTACTTACTGAGTAATCTGACACTACTTGGGATTGAAGGGGTAGGGCAGAAACCACGAGAGAAAGCAAAGGTCAAAGGTCAAGCTAAGAAACTTCCTGGAGGTCCCAGCTTCTCCATTCTAGGCACCCTGGGTCCCGGCCACGGTGATGTGGTTCTTTTGTACCCTGTACCCTGAGTACTGAGACAATCGGCGTATTTGTAAAAGAAATGAAGGGATCAACTTAGAACTAACAGAGAGAACCAAAGGGGCTGAAGACTCCCTTCACCCCCACCCTGGTCAAAAAGGGTCAGTGACGAGCCATGGCAATATAACATGTCTATTTTATTTAAAAAACAAAACCCAAACCACCTGACCCCCTTCTCCCAGAGGACCTGTGACAAAGCTCCCTGGAGGGTCCCTGCTCCAGCCAAGCAAGGAGAGCTGAGGTGTCAATGTGGCCACCACACTGCAGGCTGGGGACTCAGCTCACCTCCAAAGCCCCTTCTCCTTCCCCTTTGCTCCTGGCAAAGAAGGTGGCCTGGGTCCTGGGTCCTTAGCTGGATTGTGGGGCGAGGAGGGGTGGTGGACATGCAGGGCCTCCTGGTGGCCTGCCCAGGCCCTGGTCTCTGGAGCGGCAGGCAAGAGGAGCATGAGGCTGGCAATGATGGGAGTAGCCATATGTAGAGACTGGCGTCCCAGCTTCCCTGCACAGCCCGGCTAAGTGTTCAAAATCGAACAAGAGCAGCCGGCGCTAAGGGCCCCCAGGTGGGCCCCTGACCCACAGAGTGAAGGGGCTCCTGCCTCCCACCTTCTCCTTTTGCTTTCCTCTTACAGTATAGATTATTCTCCCTGTCCTCTGGAGGAGGTGCTGCCTACTGAAGGTGCTGGGCCCTGACGAGGGGGTGCCATCTGCAGAACCCACAGGGTTCTCCGAGCCCCGCCCTAGCTCTCTCCATTTGCTGCCTGCTGGGCAGGATCCCCGGGGTGTTGGGCACTCCAGAACCCCAATTCGGATCTCTGGGGGTGCAGAGACCCCACTTGGTGCCCTGCCACTGAAGGCAGAGTCAGCTTGCAGAACGATGTGCAAGCCTGGCCCCAGCGACGACAGTGCGCCTCCCGTCCTGCCCACCAATGCGGCCTCAGCACCAGGGGTCCCTGGAGGCTCTGCCGCGGCACAGGCTGTCACTCCGCTGCCAGGCGCTGTGGATGAGGCTCAGGGCATCCTCAAATTTCTTCTGGCTGGAGACTTCCTGGATGGCCTTGTGTGGCAGGTCCACCTGGGGGACGTGGACGGGGGGGCGGATCTGAGGGGCTGGGCCCTACAGAGCCATGGGTGTCTGGGCGTAGGGCTGCTCTGCTTTGACCATGGGGCCCCTACAGCAGGGTTTGCCTCTTCCAGGAACCTTCTGCAGGCTGTGGAATCCCCCAGCGCTTCTAGTGGGGCTGAAGCAGTCCGGCCTCTGCTGATGACTAGCGGCAGTTCCTTCAGGGGAGGGGGCTCTGCGTTCTCATCAGTTCTGTACCAAGAGGGCTTGCTCTCTACCTCTGGCAAGCACTGAGCTTCCTGGAGCAGGTTACACAGCTTTTTTTGTGTTCTGGGATTAGATGAATGCCCTCCTAGGCAAGTGCTCTGAGGGTGAGGGGTATCCTGTCAGTCTTGGGTTCCCACCATCTGGGCACACTGGGAGCACTTCCTTCAAGCTTTTGGATCGGAATGGAGGCGAGTTCCTGGTTTGTTTCTACCTTTAGTCTCAGACTCCTTGAGGACGCAGGGTTTGCCTCTTTGGTCCTCTAATCCTATACCAATCCCAGAGCTGTTGGCACACTGCTGTCTCCAGGGACCCAGAGGCAGGGCCAGATTCTGGGAACAGCTGGGGACCTCCTCCCACCCCCAGGGTCCTGGTACCTGGTAGATGGTCTTCCACGCAGCACCCAGTGCAGACAGGAAGCGGTCCAGTTCAGGAGGGCAGCTCAGGTAGATGATCCAGGGAGGGAGGAGCTGCTGGCTGTCCTGAGAGAACTCCTGGGGAGAGCCGGGCCCCTGTGAGCAAAGCCAGCTCCCTCTGTGGGGGCCTGCCACTCCACTGTCCCCTGTGAGCAGACCCAGCTCCCTCTGTGGGGACCTGCCACTCCACTGTCTCCTGTGAGCAGACCCAGCTCCCTCTGTGGGCACCTGCCACTCCACTGTCCCCTGTGAGCAAACCCAGCTCCCTCTGTGGGGGCCTGCCACTCCGCTGTCCCCTGTGAGCAGACCCAGCTCCCTCTGTGGGGGCCTGTCACTCCACTGTGCCCTCTGTGGGGGCCTGCCACTCCACTGTGCCCTATGAGCAGACCCAGCTCCCACTGTGGGGGCCTGCCACTCCACTGTCCCCTGTGAGCAGACCCAGCTCCCTCTGTGCGGACCTGCCACTCCACTGTCCCCTGTGAGCAGACCCAGCTCCCTCTGTGTGGACCTGCCACTCCACTGTCCCCTGTGAGCAGACCCAGCTCCCTCTGTGGGCACCTGCCACTCACTCCACTGTCCCCTGTGAGCAGACCCAGCTCCCTCTGTGAGGGCCTGCCACTCCACTGTGCCCTGTGAGCAGACCCAGCTCCCTCTGTGGGGGCCTGCCACTCCACTGTGCCCTGTGAGCAGACCCAGC